ACGACGTTACACAGATTTATAACGGCTAAGTTAAGATAATAGCTTCCTCCATTAACAGCTTCAACAAATCACCTGTACGTCGTATCAACCCTAAACACATTGGATATATACATGTGTTTATAAAGCATCAACTGTATTCACGTGATGGGCTTTTTGACCCTTATCCTCGCTCGGAATCAAACGGTAGTTAACAACGCTGTAGTGTCTGTTTATATGACCACATATAATACACCGGAACAACCGTTAACAACGCTGTAGTGTCTGTATATAGGACCACATATAATACACCGGAACAACCGTTAACAACGCTGTAGTGTCTGTATATAGGACCACATATAATACACCGGAACAACCGTTAACAACGCTGTAGTGTCTGTATATAGGACCACATATAATACACCGGAACAACCGTTAACAACGCTGTAGTGTCTGTATATAGGACCACATATAATACACCGGAACAACCGTTAACAACGCTGTAGTGTCTGTATATAGGACCACATATAATACACCGGAACAACCGTTAACAACGCTGTAGTGTCTGTATATAGGACCACATATAATACACCGGAACAACCGTTAACAACGCTGTAGTGTCTGTATATAGGACCACATATAATACACCGGAACAACCGTTAACAACGCTGTAGTGTCTGTATATAGGACCACATATAATACACCGGAACAACCGTTAACAACGCTGTAGTGTCTGTATATAGGACCACATATAATACACCGGAACAACCGTTAACAACGCTGTAGTGTCTGTATATAGGACCACATATAATACACCGGAACAACCGTTAACAACGCTGTAGTGTCTGTATATAGGACCACATATAATACACCGGAACAACCGTTAACAACGCTGTAGTGTCTGTATATAGGACCACATATAATACACCGGAACAACCGTTAACAACGCTGTAGTGTCTGTATATAGGACCACATATAATACACCGGAACAACCGTTAACAACGCTGTAGTGTCTGTATATAGGACCACATATAATACACCGGAACAACCGTTAACAACGCTGTAGTGTCTGTATATAGGACCACATATAATACACCGGAACAACCGTTAACAACGCTGTAGTGTCTGTATATAGGACCACATATAATACACCGGAACAACCGTTAACAACGCTGTAGTGTCTGTATATAGGACCACATATAATACACCGGAACAACCGTTAACAACGCTGTAGTGTCTGTATATAGGACCACATATAATACACCGGAACAACCGTTAACAACGCTGTAGTGTCTGTATATAGGACCACATATAATACACCGGAACAACCGTTAACAACGCTGTAGTGTCTGTATATAGGACCACATATAATACACCGGAACAACCGTTAACAACGCTGTAGTGTCTGTATATAGGACCACATATAATACACCGGAACAACCGTTAACAACGCTGTAGTGTCTGTATATAGGACCACATATAATACACCGGAACAACCGTTAACAACGCTGTAGTGTCTGTATATAGGACCACATATAATACACCGGAACAACCGTTAACAACGCTGTAGTGTCTGTATATAGGACCACATATAATACACCGGAACAACCGTTAACAACGCTGTAGTGTCTGTATATAGGACCACATATAATACACCGGAACAACCGTTAACAACGCTGTAGTGTCTGTATATAGGACCACATATAATACACCGGAACAACCGTTAACAACGCTGTAGTGTCTGTATATAGGACCACATATAATACACCGGAACAACCGTTAACAACGCTGTAGTGTCTGTATATAGGACCACATATAATACACCGGAACAACCGTTAACAACGCTGTAGTGTCTGTATATAGGACCACATATAATACACCGGAACAACCGTTAACAACGCTGTAGTGTCTGTATATAGGACCACATATAATACACCGGAACAACCGTTAACAACGCTGTAGTGTCTGTATATAGGACCACATATAATACACCGGAACAACCGTTAACAACGCTGTAGTGTCTGTATATAGGACCACATATAATACACCGGAACAACCGTTAACAACGCTGTAGTGTCTGTATATAGGACCACATATAATACACCGGAACAACCGTTAACAACGCTGTAGTGTCTGTATATAGGACCACATATAATACACCGGAACAACCGTTAACAACGCTGTAGTGTCTGTATATAGGACCACATATAATACACCGGAACAACCGTTAACAACGCTGTAGTGTCTGTATATAGGACCACATATAATACACCGGAACAACCGTTAACAACGCTGTAGTGTCTGTATATAGGACCACATATAATACACCGGAACAACCGTTAACAACCTGTAAGCGTACATGGGTTGTGATCACCATTTATTTGATCAACATAAACCATGCCCATCGCCTCCCTCCTATAAACGTGAGGCGATCGATCTTACTCGTATGTATAATGGGTTCATCAGCCATTATGTGAAATACAACGACGATTATCGATAATATTCTCGCTAATGATTTGTAATTTGGAACAAGGTTTACTGTTGAACACATTAAATATATTGAGGCGATAAGAAATGTGTATAACCACGAGACTGTACATAATTGATCAGCATAGTGATAACAACACGCAGTCACGTGCAAAGGGATAGCTTTTGAATTTAGTTCCTACTATCATAAACAGACCGAATTCACCAAGCTAAGATTGCTAAAATAATGCATACATCACCTTACTATTTATGCATTATATGTTTTTGAAATCACTTGAAAACTGTCAACCGACATAACATATTGGATCTTTTACTATAAGCAAATCGCAAATTAGAGAAGTACTGGTAGATACAGGTAAACTTCACATGTTAAATGCAAGTACATTGTACACTAACATTTTCAATTTTGATTCATTCAAACCTTCAAACTACAAATTAATGTTTCCTGCTTCGTTTTTTTGGTCTAAAGTTAGAGTCCGTTTTTTTACAATCGGGACAATACCACTTTCCCTTTGGCAGTTTTGACTTTGTCAATATCAAACAATCCAAGTGGAACCATTCCAAATTGCAATTCTGGTTCTCACACGCCACCATTTCTCTGTCAGGGGTCTCGGGCTGCTGACAAATACAACAAGAGATCCCAGAGGGATCTTGGCACCCACCTTTGTACCATCTTCATTAGTTCTTTGTCAATTCGATCTTTTCTCTTCTTTCCTCTAATCTGTTTGATCGAGTCATGTTAACAGTAAATGCACCTTCAGGTAACTTTTGATCTAAACTTAATACTGATGTGTATGAAAGCCAACCTTCAAAGGGAGTTTGTCATTTCACATATTTACTAGTACAGTACTTAATGTGAAAGAAATAGAATCGATTATTGCAATATGAGACAGATGTGTTTAGTTCTTCCTTTAGTCATTTTGTTTTTATGATCAGTCTCAAAATATAACATGCACAACGTGGGATCAAGGGAAACCTACATATCAAATTTGAGAAATAGTACTAATAAACCTTCAATGTCAAAAATCAAAGATGGCTGTAGGTAGGCCATTTTTTGGGGTGAGTAAAAAATTTGAAGCACTGGCCCAAATGACATATTGGTGGACCAAATAATTTTGGGAAGAAATATTTCCACAGCATTTAGCACAATGTTTAAGCACCTTTAAATTACATATAAAAAACCTGACATGATCCACTCCATTCAGGTCTTCCCAAAAAGAAATACACAAAACTCGCACCTCAAAGAAGACACCCTGGCAGTATTTATATAGAAAATTCAACAGTAGCTCAAACTATTTTTGTTGGGCCAGTGACTACCTCACTTTTGACAACGTTTAGGATCTCGAGCAAGACTTAACCGCCATTGGCGAGCAAGCGACCGTCCATGTCAGGCACTGCTGCACAACAAGGGAACAAGGGGAACCTACATATAAAATTTGAAAAAGATCCCTTTGGTACTGCTTGAGAAATACCGATAACAAACTTTCACTATCAAAATCCAAGATGGCTGCCTGTCGGCCATGTTGTTTATCCGATCAGTCTCAAAAGTTGCCCTGCACAGCTAAGGACCAAGGGGAACATACATTTAAAATTTGAGAAAGATTCCTCTGGTACTTCTTGAGAAATACCGATAACAAGAATTGTTTTAGGACGGACGACGGACGAACGACGGACCACGGACGCATGGGGATTTGAATAGCCCACCATCAGATGATGGTGGGCTAATAAAGATGATCATCGGAAATGCTGTCCTCGATAGGGTTGTTCCCATGGGAGTTGGTCGCCACATCATTCAATGGTCCAGGTTGACTTTTCTGTAAGTGGGAATAAAACTTTCCGACAAGCTCTGGCATAACTGCCATTGTGTGGAAGTCCATAGCTTTCATTTTTATTCCCTGCCACACTTGTTCATTTGGCTCTACTCTCTCAATGTGCATGTCTTGTTCAGTCCACACAACAAAGTCACAAAATTCCCGTTTAGTCACACGTATCTGCGTTTGGACTTGGTAATAGTAAGAATGTGCCGGGATAAGTTTTTTTTCTCTCTGGTGTGTCCTCTAAACATGACTTTGTAACTAGTCAGAGAAGAATGTCGGACATTGTAGGGACACTTTATTTCGACAACACCAACACCACAACAATCACATGACACAAGTCCATCTGGGGAGGCACCTAAAGTTGGGAATTCTGTGTTAATTGAAATTCCAGCCTTTTCCAAGGAGAAGTTTTCATGGAGAAGTTCCGTTGCTTCTTTGTAGGACCTAATAGCCTCTTTCTCATGCTCACAACCCCATGTTGTTGCTGCAGATTTAAATGATGTCTCTGCTGGGTAGCAAATGGACGTGACTAGGCTCCGAGATGGTGCTGCTGGGTTACTGTGACACACTGAAAACATTTTTGATGCTGTCACTCTACCACTCCTGAATCTATGCCAGAGCTTAGAATTGCATTGTTCTTTTGTGGCACTTTCCACAGTAGCTGCCTCTTGCTCAGAAACCACAATCTGAAGATTTTCACATTTCTTCATGATTTTACTGAAACTAGTTCCTTGTTAAATAATTCAGACAGTATCATGGGAAAATTAGCACTTACAGGAGTTGGAATAAAGTCCTTTTGAAATGGCACTTTTACACTCAGAATGGCTGATCTTGCCGCGGTTGTTCTAAGTCTTTGTAAAAATAATGACAGTTCTTCCTCAGATGGAGGGCTAGCAACTCTAAGCTCTTGCTGTGTACGTGGAGTTACTGGTGTTCCAGCAAGATGACAATCAAGAGCTTTCTTTTTAGTCTTGGCAGATGTAAAGTCAATATCTTTAAGAGTGCTGTAACTTACCCCTTTTACACTTGCTGGAAGCCAGTACGCTTTCTCTAGGTAACTGTCTTTGATTTTCGCACTATGACTGTGGCCTCAATGCTGCAGAGAAGTGCTGCAACATGGGTACATGACTCTCCTAATCCCGCCATGCAGTTACAATGTGCTGCAAGGACCTTTCCATCTGTTTGGATGATAATCCACGGTGTCAGTGGTGTGTCGCTTAATCTTTGAGAATGCATCACCTGTAACACAAAAATAACAGTATTACTTTAAGAAATATCATCACATTTTTAACTTGAATGCTCTAGGTTGTCCAATATTGATGAATTTGTAATACTGCTACATGTATCCATTACATGTGTTGAGTATGTCCTTAATGTTTAATCTGATGATTACAAGTGCTTACAAATCATCAATTATAAGAATAGAAAAATATAGACATACCCTTATTACAATGTATGATGGAGAGTAAAATATGCACAAGATTTCTACTATAGTGTATGCTACTATATAGACATTAAAACTTTGATCTAAAAGTACTTAAAGTACTGATATTGTATATATGTGTACATTTTTAAATGGCTTTATTAATAATTTAATTGTTTAAAACATATACTTATGTCCTTAGAGCGGGTAGACTAATTAGCTTTTATGCCAACAATTTAGTCTGGAGCACAGGGGTTAGTTACAAATGTCTGAAATTTCTGATATGGGTTACAGCACACATAAACTGTATACAGTATAGCATCCGGTATTTCAGACATTTTTAACGAACCACTGTGTCTGGAGTGACAAATGATCAGCCCCTATGTCTAGGGATGCCCTCTAGTACCCCCGCGGAGTTGTATTTATAATTTTATTGTCTTGGGGGATGCTCACAATTTCAAAGTTTACTATAAACACAGTACATGTACATATCGATATACACGTGACTGTGTCTGGTAGATTGCTTACTCTAAAAAAGACAGTACACCCCGAGTCCCTGATATGCTTAAAATGACCCCGGGAACGTGTTTCGGTGTACTTACTCGTGCAGTGTGCAGACAAAGGTCGTTGATTTTATACACAGCTACATCTCGTACCCAGCCGCTGATGACTTGATTGTATGCATCCAATCCTTTGTAGCATTTCAGCTCTTCTACAGTGTAAGCACTCGTGAAGTTCACTAAATACATAAAAATGTCTGCGCACGTCACACCTGCCCAAAGATTAATGTCTTTGCTCCATTTCGTCTTGTCAAGTTGATATGGATTCATTTTGTCAATCAACGCACATTTTTCATCGTATTTCCTTCTGGAAACAACATCCAATGACTGTCTGTAGTCGAACAAACCTTTGCTAGCCATTTCCGCCACATGTAATACGTACACAAGAAGCCGTCGCTGAGAAAAGTTAATAGCTTCGCCGTTGCAGGTTAAATAATCCTTCACTCTAACTGAAGAATCCTTGCCAAAAGTAAAATTAAATTCTTTGTATTCATCCGGAACATCTATGAAAATTCAAGGACATCAAAAAATGATTACCTTTCTTATTATGAACATTTGTTCTTTATAAATACCGAATGTTAAATTACTCCACGTGACATCCTAATTACTAGCGTCGACCTCTAACCTTCGCCTACAGAATTGTGTTTTTCTTGAGTCCTTTGCTGAGGGGACGTCAACGTTGCCCAAAGTAACTTTCTATTCCATGACATCGAAATACGTTCTAGCACAATGCAACACTTTGATAACTTGATTCTTTCTTTTCTCTCTTATATACATGTCTTTCCGACGCCAATTATTGAACCATACGTTATGCAGTTTCATTAGTTTAGCTATAATCAGTCGTATGTCCACTGAAAAGAGGTTGTTTCATGGAACGTCACTTCCTTGGTACAACCGGAGAATTGGCAGTAAACTACAATTACACTGACTGCACTTACATATTCTCTATTTCGTTGTTTTATGAAATTTTATTTAAAATCAAAACAAAATCCGAGATTGTGGCCATTTTCTGAAGATAATATTCTGAAGGTGTCACCAATGGCACATACAGACACTTCTGTTACAACAAACTGACAAATAATTAAGAGATTGCTATCTATATCGTATCAAAATAGAGGATGTCATTAAGTACACTGTGCAAATATTAACAAGTCTGTTACAGATGTAAGTAAAAAACCCGACAAAATGATAACCTAACGAAGGACTTAAGAAATCATGGCTCTGAAGCTGTTAGATACTCGTGTCTGGTCGGATAAGAGAGACAACTCTTACAAGACAATATATATTTAGACTACCAAAACTAGGAGTATATTTAATAATCACGAAAACATACTTGTTAAGTGCAAGAAATACGTCACTGTGACTTATGGTTTAACCCTTGACCTTATCCTTAGTAAAGGCTTTGTCCGGGGCACATCTTTATACTTTTTCACCTGCAGTAACCAGAGTTGGTATGCAAGTACATAGTGAGATGGAAATGTATCAAGTACAAAATATAGGTTACTGTGACTTATGATTTAACTTTTGAACTTAATATTTAAAAAAAAAATGCGTGGGATAAATCTTTAAACTATTTCACCTGGAGTAACCAGATTGAATAGCCAAGTCCAGCCAGGGATTGTGGTGTGTCAAGTACTAAATGTAGGTCACTTTGACCTATGGTTTGACCTTCATCTTGCCATTTTATAACATTGTCTAGGGTATATTTTCTATATTGTTTAATATGAAATATCCAGATTTGCTATAAAAATACCATTGGCTGAAGGTTGTGAAGAGTACAGGACTCTGTATGATACTGTGAACAATATGATATAGGTGTACAGCATGAAAAATAAAGAAACAATCATTACGTTGTATATTATTGATTGCTGTGCTATACTTGGTCAGGTTACTTTTTAACCTTTAAGTTTAAGTTTGATGTATTTCTTCAATAAACGTCTATCTGTAGTGCTATTCTGGCCTTAGTTACTGCTGATCGGCCGTAACAAAATACAAACCAATTAAAACAAACTTGAAATAAGGACTATTTAACTGACGTTAGAAGGGGGTAATATTAAGTTCATTAAGTGTATGTACCTCATGATTATTTAATTTATTAGCAGAAATAGCCGATGAGTGATATTTCATGTGACTTCGTGTGTACTTCTTTCATGGTTTGAAGCACTTAGATTGCTTCGTGGATAAAAACTATCGTAAATACCCGGAATGTACTCACTTTTGGAACTTGTTTGGGCTATACGATGTACATTTTCAATAAAAACAAAATTAAGGCGAATCTGTTCTGCTTTACAGGTCCTGTATGTTACATCCCTGCAGGTCGGAGATCGAGAAATGAATACACCTGCGGTTACCCAGATTATGTTACGTAAGAGGCGACTAACGTCGGAACCCCTGCATAATATTGGGGATTTCTATTTCTTTTAATTCTGATCACTTTTTATTTCCTAGCGCCTTGCTTGACAACACCTCACTTTTGTCTTTAAGGGTGAACGTTGTGAGGAAGGCAATGGATTCTGTCTCCAGATCGGGACATATCAAAGTCCTTCAAAATGTAGTTGTTATCAACAACAAGAGTAATGGCAACAACTGGTTCACCTGTTATCAGTATAATGTGACCAGGTGATCTGTGCAGGGTGCCTTCAACATGGTATTTTAGTGAGATAGCACTATAAAGTCCGCATCAGATCCGCGCTGTCAAACGGAGGCAATTACAGTCTGCCTCGACCAGACATACACGCATACTTAACACGTATGGAGGTACGTCTGTAAGTTACCTTAGTTATTGATAGGTCGTTATACAAAATAAAGCCGACCCAAACCTATGTAACAATATATATGTCCACGCCTAAATGACTGCGAACAGGCAACTGTTACCTTCAGAACTACCATACGATTTCAAGCCCGAATAAAACGCAAATGTGAGTTTCATTGGTTGATTTATTATGAACAACACCGGTGCGATGTTGTGGCTCGTATCCTAGTCTAGCTTCCATATGTGTAAGGATTACTGGTAATACGTCAGTGATCGTTCGTGTGTTCTTGTAGCCTTTGATTGTCGGTCTATTATAAATAAAATTTTGTATTTCATGAAAGAATATATTATATTTATATTTGCATGGCATTGTCACTATATAGCTTCTTTGAAAGCTTTGTCGTTGATGGGACTTTAATTACCATGCATCACGAGACACAATTCTTAGCGTATTAATACAACACTGACCGGAACTACAATATCCAATATAAATAAACATGACGGCTGCTGAAATATCGCTGGGCATTGTGAGATTTGACAATACCATTGTAAATTTATGTGCAAAACAAAAAATGAAATAAAAATCACTTTTATTACAACGAAAACAGGACCAATGTCTGCAATATCGTACAAAATGCACATCGGTTGAAATCACCAATGCACAATTTTAACGCTCATGCAATTTATCAAAAATATCGTCTGTTACACTGCACTGATCAACAGAGGTTGGTTACAAATGTCTGAAATACACATATTCTATAGACCTACTGACACATATGTTACAGACCTACTGATATGAGTCACAGCACACATAAACATTTCAGACATTTGTAACGAACCTGTGCTCCGTCGCAAGATCACTCACTTCAAACGCTATCAGTTTCACGCGTCTCGCATCCACCATTCCTCAGTTTCTGACGACATGTCAAATAACGAGGATGTTATAGAATCTACCGACTGTTGTCAGGTTCCCATACAATCAACAAATACATTCACGCCTGGATTCTTCACAAAATGAGCAAAGAGAAAAGTTCGAATTAACTTCCAAAAATAACTCCCTCGTGGAGGGCAAGGTCGGATTTACGGTGTTCACTGTATTTGTCCATGCGCGAAATTTGTTCCGGGGGGAAATCGAAACAATTTCAAATCTAACTTTCAGCTCAGAGTTCTATTGATAAACTTAAATCACCCTATAGACATATCATACGCAATTGTATTGATACTGAATTGTGGAATAAAATTGAAGTGTTTGTTAAAATTTCAAAGTACTTCTTTGTTTGCCAATCAGCACGCGACAATACGCTGTTCAAACTATTGAACAAAATTGTGTGGACTGTCGATAAGGCGGGCATTTTTAATTTTAAATATAAATTATAAGTTAAAAAAGAACATAAGAGTCAGAGAAAACGTAAATATAAGTATTGAACTATTTTTGTATGGTATTTATGATCTATTTGAATGACACAGCGTTGCAAGCAAACAACATAATGCGCGCTAAGTTCAATGCTTTAATATTTTCGCTGTAGCTTATGTCTTTTATTTGTCGTCACATTGTAACACGCACGTGTAAGATTTAACAGTGTGTACATGTTGGACTGAAATAAGGAATAATGTTCACTATGTTCGTTTAGTATTCTTGTGTTTATGTTGTACTGGTCGATTTCAAACTTTTAATCCTCGATGGTTACCCTAACCTTGATTGCCAAAATAATCGGAGAAGTGACGTCGTTCAGTGTATACACACATTACTCATAGTGTAATTTGTAATTAACCAGTAATCCTCCAAACATTGAAATTACTAAAACTCAGCAGCCGTACGCACCTCTCCTTCTGTTTCAACAGTAGTTAGGACCAAGTTGGAATTGCAGTGTTTGGTCCCTAGCGTCATTGACGAGTCCTAAGTGTAACTCCTTTCTAGCATGCTGTGTTAATTAACAAACTAAGGTGCAATCATTTGTGAGTGTTGCGTTTATCTTTTAATGTGTTGATATCAATATGAATATAAGTATTTTAGAGATGGTTCATAGCTTCATTAAAAATACTAGACGCTTTTACTAGATTCCACTACTTGTTTATCTAGTTTTACACGAGTTTGCTGTGCAGAATGATACCAGCACGTAATTGCACTATGTGCTGTCCACCAGCATCATTTTAATTGCCATTTGTGGTACATTCTAGTTTTTGTAACAACAAATTATCAAAAAATTAACAATGACATATAAATATCAATATATATAATTTTATATATTATACATGTTTTATCATTACTTCAATGCAATATGATGTGTGTAAACTGTTTACAACTGTAAGGAGAGGGCGCTCATATTCTTTGCATGTTGCCCAATTCCTTTGTATCTAAGATCTTAACAATAAATATTATGAAATGAATGTGTTGAAATATTCGTTTTATTTATTTATCATAAATCCATCGCAACAACGAAAGGACAATGTTTGTTTAAAAACAACGAAGTTTTCTTGTTTTGGAGTTAACGCTGTCCATGTTGATTTAACCTCCGATCAAACGGCTCTTGCCAATCTTAAAACAGCCATTCACTCATTCAGCTGGTCCAGTTTTAATAGTACTTCACT